TGAAAATAATAGTGGTTAAGTAAATTTGCTATGTTTTTGTGCTTTATTTACTTCCAAAGTGCAAGAATTTGAATAGGTTTAGAAAACTAGACAAAAAGACTTTGTTTGACAGAATTAAAAAGGAGAAAGTTGGGAATAGTAAAGATAATTTCAATTTTTACACAAGAGCGATAAGGAGGAGTGGGTTTTATAAGCATATTAGTTTGTGGATATAAAATGTAGACCTTATAAAAAATTCGTGAAAAAAAAGTCTACCTACTGAAACGTTATTGTAACGAACTTTCAATCCTGTATCAATAAAGTAATTTTCATTTGTATTTGTCAGTTTTGAACATTCAACAAGAACTTTGAAGGTAAAGAAGAGAATAGGCAGCGCTTGAAGTGAATCTTACTTTGCTGGTGTTCCACCGTCGATCGCTTCGACAATCAACTCGTACATGTCCCGGTATTCTCGATCGAGTTGTCCATTTACTACCAACTCGGCATAAAGAACTCCATTAACGGGACGAACAGCCACCTCAACGGTAATGTTTAGGTGAGTCTACGAAAGGAGAGTAAACGAGTATTGCCTCACCTTGAACACATTGTTCACATTTCCCTGAGCGATGCGGTATTTCTGAACAGTGAATGTTTGACCATCTGCATCCTCTGCTCTGGGTAATGGGTAAGCAGCGCCTATTCGAGCAAATTCGGATATTTCTAGCTGAAAGAGGAATTTTCATTCACAGAAGACAGTAGTGGGGGGAAGAAAATGAAAACAGGTATCTACCTTGATTCGCTCTTCTGGGAAAGTAGGGGTGTGGTCATTCACATCTTCCACTTCAACCGTAGCCTGAAAATACGAAATGTGCCAAAGAAAAGCCAATTGAGCTGACTTCAGGAACATCAACAGTTAATGAAATATAGTAAAATTTTTACAGCAGAAAGAATTTGTCAAATCGACTTGATTTTCTTCAAAATATGGGCGATTAACATGCTATTTGGAAAGAAATAAACATTTATTACTGTATCAATATTATTGTAACATTTACTATTGTAGCACATCTTATTATTTATGGACTTAACAGTTTAAATGTACATAGATGTTTGCATATATGTTGATTTCATGGGCTAAAAATTGTGTTGCGCAGTGATAGCGGTGATTTTAGGCTAAATTTAGAATTAGCATGAGATGACTTTTTAATACTATTCCTCATTACTTTGTCCTTTTCTTCCGTTTGAAGAATGATTGAATGATAGCA